AGTGCTGCATTACAGGACAGTATCTGACCCAGCCATTCTGGCAATGTCAATAAAAATGTCTCCCCCACCTGATTAACGCGTTTGATATCAGAGCTAATAACTTGTGGGGGCTTAGGACTGCTAAAAGCTTGGAGCAGGACGAACACTGCGGTGCCCATGTGCAGGCTGTGCAAACACAAGCTGTGCTGGGTGAGCAGGGGGCAGCAGGGGAGGATCTGGCTCCATGGCTGCAGACCAGCATGCTGGAGACTTCAGCCCACTGGCTCCAGCAACACTTTCTTGTGGAACAAAGCCCATCTCCTCTAACACAGCTTTTTCCCAGGAACTGGCCCATATGGAATAAAATAAATAAATCACAAGTGTTTTGTGAAAGGGGAAAAAAAAGTTCCTGCTGTACATAACTCGGGGGAGCAGATGTTTTTCCATTAGCTCACTGTTCTCTGCTGCACTGGCTCCCTTTGCATTTCTTGTTTGCAGCATGTTCAGTACAAACTATTTTTCCTAGGTTAAACTTTAGCACGTTACTGAGACAGCAGGTAGCCCACTCCAGCCCCACTGTGAGTACATGTAATAGTATCCTTGTCATTTTTCTTTAAATCCTCCTTTAAGTTAGCCTTAGGGTCTACCTGGTGAGGTTCACAGGCTGAGCTTAGCAGGCATTTAGCCAAACTTAGATCAAATTACCAGACCTACTTTGCTATGAGTGGCCATATTTGGTAAAGTATTGGGTTAGTCAAGAAGCTAAATTGTCAGATATAAACTACTAGTAAAGACAAACAAAGTGGACCTTGTAGTTAAAATTAAAGCTTAAAATAATACAGTAACAGGAGCTAGAATATTAGAACTCCTATTAAAACTGGCTTGTAGCATTCTAAAATGCTCTGTATAAATAGAGCATATGGTTATTACTGCCTGGAAGTATAATCACACATACTTCAGATAAAAAATCATTCCAGTTACCCAGAGAGCCTATAACTATTAACACTGTTTCTTTCCAATACTGACATGCTTTGCTCTCTGGGTCAAAAGTGATCTTATAAAAATGCTGAATGAAAGTAAATTTTGGTCATAAATTTGAACAATTTCAAGTATATTTTCTTTAGCCAAACAGCATGACTCTATTTTCTAAACAAAAAGGAGGAGTACTGGCGTGACTGTTAGAAGTACTAGCTCTAGTAATCTCTAGGATTCCCCTTGCACCTCTTCCTGCAGGAAGAGGGAGGAGTTAACAAGCTTTACCAGGGCCACCAAAGTTCCTTGCCTCTTCTCAAACTTGAATTCATGCTCTCAGCCATGAAAAGCAGAACAAAGAGGAGAAATGAGCAGAAGGATTGCATAATGAACACCTCTCCTGGAGCTGCACCACCACAGCATGTGCACTGTAGCACTGTTCCTAAGTACTCCCTGAAATGAGCTGTTTCTCAGACATGGGGCCAAGAATAATGTTTAGGCTCATAAATGTTAAAGTGTTCCGAGATGACTCTTTTTAAGCAGCCATTATATTCAAGAGGACTAGGGGGGTTATTGTTAAAAGGGACCAGACAAGCTGTGCTAACAATCTCTGCTGCAGAACACTTGGAAATAGAATATGCCTGTTAGTATTCCAAGCATGCCTGCTGCAGGGGACGTCTCTAGTCTTTGAGAACAGCACACTGCTCTTCCAAAGCTGTGACTACCTGTGCAGAAAACAGGAAGATGTGGAAGCCCACTAAGACAATGTGCCAAGCTCTGTGCTGCAGATGACTGTACTCCCAGGTCGTCCTGTAAGAGATGGCTGGATGTGAGATTAACAGTGAGAATTCACAGTTTTATTTTGATGCTTGAAAGAGAGAGGACTCTTTCTAGAGACCACAGATCCATCAAACAGCTCTTTGTTTACAGGAGGCTACAAAAAATTACCTTGCCAAAGATCAATGCCTAGGCATTGCTGCAGGGGAAGACAAGGTACAGCCTCTGTTATAGTGCAATGCATTTTGATTTGGCAGCTGCACATCCAAAGATGGTGCTTTATTGTCTTCCCTACAAAACTATGCTGGTCACAAACCCAGAAAAATGACAGATAAAACCACTAAGTGTATGCTCTCTTGTGAGGGAAAGAGGTATCTTTATCACAGCATAAAAGGGATTAACTATTTGCACAGGGTTCACTGCCTTCCCTTCAGCCACTCTTAAGGGAACACACATATTCTCAAAAAGCTAATTGTGAAACCTGTTAAGAGAACAAGGGGTCTCCAGCTTGGAGGGACTGGGGACACTTCTGCACAAGGCAGGAACTCCTACTGCAGCTGCAGTTGGAGGATGATACACACTAAGGATTCCCCTATGCAAGCGTCACTGGATAGGTACCACCCCCTAAGAGTCCCTTTTGCAAGTATATGTGCTGGTGCTGTGGCCTGGCTGCTGGAGGGCTGTAAGAGCAGCCCCCTGTAGCTGTGGGATGGCTGGGTTTGTGTGCCTCTTCCCAACCTCGCTGCACAAAGTTCTAACTGGACCAGCTGGCTGGTACCATTACTCCTCATGCCCTGGGATATGAGAAGGCATGGCAGCTGCAATGGCTCTGATGGCACCCAGACACCACTGCAAGCTGGCACTCTCAATCCCTGCCCATGCACAGAGGCACGGCCAGTGTGTCCTGTGAGTGTCTGGGAAGGACGGATGCTTCATTATAAATTCACTGTAGTATGAGGTTAGGAAATTGTAATCACTTTATCTAAGGATTTATGAGTCACACTAAAAGGGTCCAAGTGTTAATGACAACAAAAACAACAACACACGAGTCATTTCCCAAAGGCACATTAATGTTTTTCCCTGTGGAGATAGGACACTGAGGTATGAAAAAGTTAGGCAACTTGCCTGGAGTCACAAGATGAGTCACTGATTGAAAAAGGACAAGTCCAAGCGAAACCTGATGAAAATCTACAGCATACTGATGCAGACCTTCCATGAATATCAACTGGCTCCATAGGCAGGCATCAGAATGTTACACTAATTGCCTGCTGCTTTCCACAGCCATTCATTTTGGGGTGAGCTGGAATGTAAAACCACCTGACTACCTCAACTTCCTGTAACCATTCATATCTTTTTAGTTTGTCATCTATGAAATATCTGTTTTGGAAGGTACTTCTTACAAGTACACTTGTTCCTCCTTTCCCCTCCTTTCAGACGGGAAAGATCCTAGTAGTGAAGGTCAGTGACACCCTTTGGATTATTCCAGTCATTAATTCCAGCACAAAAGCAACCCATTTACAAGAAGTCCTCTAATTATTCAGGCACTGTGCCCTTCTCCATAGAGAGTAAAGACTACTCCAAATACCTGCACCTCTGTTCATCCCTCAGGATACCGGAATCCAGCAGCTTCCACACTACCATGAGAAGAGAATGGCCAGTACCTCAGCAGGAGCTCATTAAGCTGCATCCATAACAATAACTGACTTCAGTAATGAAATTACAAAGCAGCCACAGTACATGTTTTCAAAATATCAATCCTGAATTGAGTCCAGCTAAAACTAAGCATGAAGCAAAACAAAGGCTTACAAAGTGATAAGAGAGAAAAGTTACAGCTTATAAAAATAAATTCTACCTAAAAGAATTAATTAACACCTTTCAGAAAAGTACTCTATTCACACTGAAAAGCAATCACAGCAATTCACAGCAAGCACTAGGTCTTTATTGCTTTTGTCTTTTCAGACAGCAGCAAGAATGTAAACTGCCTAGAGCTAGCTGTAGGATGATGGACAACAGACACCTGACTTCTCATCATAATAAACTCCATTTATTTTGCTCCCCACCAGCCCTCTCTGCAGCCTTAAATCAGGAATATAAACTGAATAAAGCACGATCTTGCTGGTGATTTTGAAGCCCACAGCACATCACTGAAATTTACATCCACACTAGTCATTAAGGAGAACACTTAATAAACTTAAAGGATGATGCATTCTAAAGGTGACTTCTTTGTTAATATTAATCAAAGTGTAGCAAAACCAATGTCATATATTTTGTTCTAGAACTAAAGGCTAATTGGTAGGAAATTACCCACAAAAACATCTATGAAAATCTTTGCTGCAAAGTAGGGTGAGATTGCCAGGTCTTATGTGAGAGCTGTCAATTGCATAGATTAGTGAAATGAGAATTTGAAAGGTTCCCCTGCACGAAGAATAGAAATCTATCAGCAGCTTTCCAGGGGGTTCTGCTTTTCTTTCTGCATTGCAAATGGTGAGACATCTAATAAGCAATCACAGCACTCAAAGGTAATTTCAAGTGGGCAACTGTGGGCCCAGTTATGGAAGAAAAACTGTGTCTCCTAAAAACAAAATTACAGGGTTGGAACTCTATCAGTTCTGAAATGCTGGAATGCAGGCAGCAGAATGTGCTGGGCAACTCTGTTCCTCAACAAATGTCCTACATAAAACCCCTCCATGGGTTTGGAGATTGCTTGTGGGTAGAATCTCTCTTCACTGTTTTCCCTTTATGTGCTCGGTTGCAGCATCTTTGCATTAGTGTCTCAAACTGCTACTCAACCTACAAGACCCTGAGAGGTTCAAACAGTCAAGGACAGTGGAGAACATCCTATTTCTAATAGTTTTCACTTTCATTCCTCAGCAAAGACTGGAATGCTTAAATCACATTTAAGACATGGTTTGCCCAGTCTTATTACAGGGAGGTGTTTAGTAAAAGGAGAATGAAAATAATTGTCCTTATGAACTACCATTTGTTAATGAAGAACTACCTATCCTTTTTTTCAAAAAGCATATTATAGTGGTGACTAAAGTTTTCTGTGTGTTTTGGAAAAACAAAAGTAAGCTGAGAAATCACACTACTACAGTATTTTTTTGGGTCATAATTAAATAAGTGGTGTTTCAAAAATCATCTGGGATAGAATAGCAGATTTTCTGCTGGAATGGAGTCATTTTCAACTCATGACTTCACCTACTCTGTTAATACTTATGTCATTTGATTCATCACTGGGGGGAAAGAGGAACTCCAGGTAGCTCAGGACTTACCAGCTTGTAGCCAAATTTGTTCAAGAGTTGTCCAGAGCTTCACAGGTCCCTGCTTCATTGTGCTGCTCTGCATAGTTATTTCAGACATGGCCTGTTCCAGTCTTGATGCAGCAAGGGAAGAGGCTCGTTGTGAACCTACAAACCAAACAAACTATTATGTATTTTATACTTATTTATGATATTTCCTTGACTTGCTAAGGCAGCAGGTCTGATCCTCCACTCACTACATTGGTTTTATGTAATAAGAACACTGCTGAATTTTGGCATGACAAACTGGAGAAGTATGCTTTATAAAAGGTTAATTTACTGAAAAAAAACCCCACTAAATTATCCAAGAGCTGCAGCTCAAACAAGCAAATTAAGAGACAGTAATTTTATAAAGGTCTGCTTAGCATTCATCAAGGAAGCAACCATATTTTGCTCGTTTGGGAGGCAGAAGTCTAGCATCAAATATTTTCCACAAATACCCATTTTATAAGCACAGTCACCATACAATTACAAAATGTGCCCCACTAAGGTAAAAAATTCATACAGCATGACAAGGTAGCTTAGCCCCATTCACACAGCACACACATTTCAAGTGACATCAACATTGTTCTACTGATTTAGAGGCACGGTGGTTTTTCATTTAACCTTGGGGAGCACAGAGTTCAGAGCTTTGACTATATTAACCTTTAGTATGTACTGTAACATTTACGCAAGAATAAAGTATTTGGCTCCCCCAGCTCTGGGACAAAACATCACATCAAAAGCTTATCCCAGGAGGGCTGCATGGGCAGAAATCACATTCTCCAGTACAGCAAGTGGGTTTATACTGGTGAGCCAACCTCTCAGAGGGGTATCAATATGGTAGTAACAAAACAAGAAGCTACAAATTGAGATTTCAGAGTTGGCTGTGAGAAATAAATATTTTAGTATACATAGGTTTTAATGTGATTTCACGGTTGATAAGCTCTTTCTCTGGAGAGCTGCTGTGACTGAAGCACTTGTGTTGATTAGCATTCCTCTTGAATCTACCCTTACAGGCTGACCTCATAAACCACAAGATCCTAGAGTTAAAATCCCGCTTTTTCTCTCCCGCAGCCACGGGGCACATGCACTTAATGGTCTCTCTGAGAGGGACAGCATGCTTTTCCAGCTGGAGTGTGCTCAAGAGAGAGAGGGCTGCCAAACCACACCTCCTCACCAGCAGACCAACACATCACCCTGTGGTCCCCAGCCATGGTCTCCTGGCCACCTCTGGATGTGAGCAGGGACCCAGCCTCAGGCAGGCATGAGGAGAGGCTTTGCTCTCCCGGCAGGACATGGCTGCAGCTTCTACTTAACCCGAGGTGAGCGTGTCAGGGCTTGGGAGAGACCACAAGTGCAACCCCAGGCTCGGAACTGCAATGGGAAATATTTGTCCTATTATCTCATCGCTAACTAATGTCATTCATTTCAAGCAGGAGGACTTCAAAACAGCCCTGCAGCAGGCACCTCCCACGGCTCCCTTGGAAAATGCAAATGTGTTCTTCCCAGATGCATTTCTTAAATTCCTACATATTTGCAAAGACATTCCTGATCTAATGTTCCAAGAGATGACAGTGCAGTAATGTAGCAATTACAGCTTTAAGGGTATGGGCAAAAACCATTTAGCTTTGCAGGAAGAATTTATTGTATTTACCAGTTTTTTTAACTGATCCACCTTCAGCCTGCTTCACTGCACGAGATTCCTCCCCTGCCTTGCCCACTCACACTCCTCTCCCCCATCCCTATCTCCACTAGTGAGAATTTCACTGAAACTCCCAGAAATTTAAGAGCTGTTTGACACAGGCAAAAACTACCAAGCATTTAAGCCCAGCCATCTAAAACACAGACAGCTTCTCTGCACTGCAGAGACAAGAAAATGGACACATGAACAGCTAGTGATGTTATCAGCAGAGCTCTGAAACTAGGGCAGACCTCTTGCCTTCTAGATTGGCAACTCTGGAAAAAATTACATGCACTTTGTGGATTGTGCAGTCAGGCTAACGAGATTCTTACATTAGCATGTTTGAATGCAACTTTCAGTACCACACTTTCCTGCCAAGGCTGCCCTCCCAGAGAAGCTTTGTGGAGCTGTGTTTCTTGCAAGCATCCAAATGTAATGCTGGGCTGTTTGCACTGGGTGGGCAGATAGGCTGGTACTTATTCACATCCTCACAGGGCTCAGGGAAATTCTCTTTTCCTTGCAAATCAATCCAAGAAAACTAAATCACCTTTGTGCATTTTGGAGAGGTTCACACACTGCCTTAAGCAGATCCAGTTAGAATCTATTAAAGCATCCTTTCCTCACAAAGCAGACTTCACAGGAATGTAACAGCACAGTTGCTCTCAAAGAAACCCAAGTTAGCTGCTCCTCATCTTATCTTCATTAGCCCAGTAGTTCCCTGCCAAGAGGGGAATTTGAGACTGATCCTGCTCAGTGCAGTGGGCATCTGCACAGCTGGACAAATGAGACCCAAGTTACTTAGCAATTTACATGGAGACTCTTTTCTTTTATCCCTTGGCAATCCAATCCTTTGATGTTTACTTTCTCTGCCTTCTTTTCCAGCCTACAAGAGGAAGCAGAATATTTTAGGCAGAGACCATGCCATCCCTGCTTGGCCTCAGACACAGATACACTCCTTGCTCTGGACATGCCAGATGATCAGGCTCTCTCCAAACCAGCCCATCCTCCACTTTTGCCACCACTGCTCTTGTCCATCTCTGCTGGGATGCTCACAGCAGTTCTCCTTAAAGCTTGCCTGACCAAATAAACTCTGTAAGAGAAGGATTTTGCCAGCTGGCCCTTTTGGACTGAAAGGGGCTCAGCTACATCTCTGAATCTCAGGCAAGCAGTACAGTGCCCCTGGGGGTGGGCTGATGGCTACTGCAGCCACAAAAGAGTTTACCTCTAACACACTCGGTCCTGAGAGGGGAGATCAGCATGTGTCACACTGGCAGGACTCTGGCCTCAGGGGGGTGGGGGAAGATAGCTTATAATGGGACATTCAGATAATTTTTTTTAATGTTGCTTGAAGTTTTTCTATCCCCTCCTAAAGAAACGTGCTAAAAAAACCTCCCCACAAAACCTGTCTCGCAGAACTTTAATGTCATGCCTCAAAATACATGCAAATGTTGGCATATGAAGATATCATATCAATTTGTTATTTTAGTGCAGCCTCTTTCTCTATTTAACTGCTCTACCAGACAGAATATAAACTTCACATTTTACAATAAAACCCTCCAAACATTTTGGAAATAACTCATGAAATAACAAACTGATTTTGTTGTGATGAGCTCTCCACATAAGCCCTACAAAATCTATCCAAATAATTTTAAAGCACTCTTCTAGGGTGTTTTAAGACCAAAAAGACCAAGTTTAATATTTTCCATTTATGTGAAAACTGCTATCAAAATAGAAATATAGCTCATTAGATTTACTAGGCTTATAAGAAACGCAGAACTCCCAAGCCTAAATCACTTCAGGCAAAAGCATTATAAGATAAGACTAAATCAGAGAAAGAATGAAACGGCAAGGCAGCTGACTGATACCAGTGAATTTAGTGAGGAACACTGCTTCAGTTAGGAGAAGATGAAGAAAATAAAGAGGAATTCATCTTTCTGGCAGCAAACCTAAAATTCTGGCACAGCAAATAATCTTACTGTGGTCTAGCTGAGGGAGAGGCCAGTGAGTGCCCAAGCCAGCCCCAGTGAGTGCCAGCCCTCAGCGACGAGCCCAGAGATGGCAGAGCGCCTGCGCAGCGCAGCGATGCTGCTGCACGCTCCCGGGGGACTGCACAGCAGACAGCACTGCCTGCTCCACAGCCATGCACAAACATCACACCTGTGCCCTCCTTCCAAGCAGGCAGCCCCAGCCCCAGCTCTGGGGAAGCACAAGGGCAAGAGGGAATAGAGCTGTACCCTCCAATCTCACCCACTACTCTCTTCAAAGAGGCTCCCAACAGGAGAGCAGACCCAGGTGCTTCCCTCCTGCAGATGGAGAACAGCAGCACTCAGAGCCTGCAGAGAAACGAGCACAGGGCCCTGCTGAAACCAGCCAGGGCCAGCCCCACACTTATGTGGGTGGTGTAATTTCAGTTCCAGCTCCTTTCTTGCATTCACTGTGGGGGCAACCACGTTAGCATGGAAACCTGGATTCTCAGAGTGGAGGAGGAATATATTTCTTGGCTAAAACCAAACTGCATTCAGTGCAAATCACTTTAGGTGCATGAAAAGCTGATTCAAAGCTTGTACTTTACATTAATTTGCCCTTTCTGGCAGGCAGCACCATGGCATACAGCACAATTAAGACTCAGACAAACCCTAATTCCCTACAGATCCATGAGATTTATGTGTTAGGTTTTTTTTCTTGTCCATTTTCTGAGTTTGAGGTTCACTTTCTTTGCAAGTGTTTCACCTACATTCACAAGCATAGGCATTTGATTCCCTAAAAAACCCTCCAAATTAAAATGCAAGTTTCTCACATTATCATCTGATTTTGAGCTAGGGTTTTAAAGTACCAAGTATCACGAGACTTACAACAAAAATCACAAGTCAGCAGCACTCTCTGAAAGCTTCCTTTCCCCTTTACTGCCAAGATCAGCTTTGATGTCTCAGTTACTTCCATCTGACTCTATCTGGTACTGTGAAAATGTATTTATCATACAATAAAGCATCACAAGGTTTATGCACAAATCCCAAAGCAAATCACCATCTAAAAGGAATTGACACTCTCACTCAGCTTTCCAAAACCAACAATAGCAGCTGGCTTGATTAGGACATCTACAAAAAATTAAATGAGGAGGCGGGCTGAGGAAGGGAAGGAATAAAAAATAAAAAGAAGGACAGAATTATACATCTCAGAGAGCTTAGTGAAAGAAAGCAGGAACCTCTCTCTGTGTTATGCATGGGGGAGCCAAGGTACAGGCAAACCACAGGGACACATTTTACAGCAGAGCTGGCCATGGAGGCAGATCTGGACCTCCTGACCAGCATCCCAGCAACACAGATGTGCACAGGCCCATCACCCTCTCCAAAGAAAATGAAACATTCATTTCTCACAAAAAGCATGTGTTTAGAACAGGAAAGCACAAACCTTGTTTCCTTACCAGAGTCAGTGTCATGAGCATCTGGCAGAGTGAGATGCAGTCCATTATGCTTTTTGATTACTGGTGTTTCAGTCACACTACTTCCTTTCTCAGAGCCACTGTAAAGAAACAAAACTGTAACCTGGACATCTCCCAGTGGAGAAACGTTCCCCTCAAAGCAGGCAATAGTTTAGCTGCCATGGGAAGTGAAAAATCAAGGTTTTTAGTTGTGAGAAATCAGCTTATTGGATGTATTCACATCTGCCCCACTGCCACTGGACAGGAAGCTCAGAGACTGCCCAGCAGGGGCTCCAGGGCACACACTGGTATTTACTTTATTTGGCTATAGGGAGTCTTTACAAACCACTGGACAAGAAACATGTTGGCAGCTCGAAGTCAGACCAGAGGAGGCCCACTAGCAGACCCAGACCCAGCAAAAACCACCATTTCTTGGGCTTTTCTGCAGAATAATTTGTTCACAGGTCTACTGTGCTGATCCTTTTGAAAAAGACCAATTACCACCTTCCACCTGGGTGCTAATTTGTTCATATTTTCATTTCAAAGGGCTTATTTTCTCCCCCTCCTCCTTTGTTCTGTTCAAAAAGAGGAAGAAGATAAAAACTACCAGATAGCACTGCTTTGTGAAACAGGTCTGCTTATGAAACTCTGGTCTGTTCTTCTACTGGACTCCTGTCCTCACAGGAGAGGCCTTACACACCCAAAAAAATCATGTGGCTAACAAAAAGTCACTTAACACAGATCTCTTGAGCCTTCCTGTCACCACATAGTCTGCCACCCCCCAAGGATCAGTGGTGATGATATCTCCTCTCATCATCCATTAAGCGATGAAATACCAAAAGGAAGCGACTGCCCTGGCTACTTTTTGTGGCACACTTCCAAGCCTGCAGCTCAGCCTTTGGACAATATTCCTTCCAGGAAGCAAGCTGTCAGAAAGACATGATTGGTGTGGATGCCCCCATCTTTCAGTCTGAGGAGTCTTTGGTAAGGATAGCACAGAATTCCCTTGAATATGCATTGATCTAGTAGAAGAATTAGCTTGGGACTGCTGTTTGGTTTTAAACACAATTATTCTGTTATCACAGAAAACAACTGCAAAAGACAAACCAAGTCTTGCCCTTCCCAGTTAACAATCTAAGACTGAAAGTCACTTACTGTCATTCATCATAATAGCAATCATATTTACAGTAGCTAAATAACCTTTTACTTGGGCTTTGGGATCAAGCATAATGGTTTCTGTTAATGCACTCTGAATTCTTGGGCACTGGACTGCACCAATCTCTGTCCTTGAATGGGCCTCCCTTATGTTCCATACTGGTTTCCACACTGATAATTCATTTGAGCCTATCACATAGTGACAGAGAGAAGGGAAAATTAAATTGTCTGTCCTATGCCTCAGCCTTACCTAGACAGGACTGACCCAAATGAAAGTGCCCTGGCCAGAAGCTGCTGGAACTGGATGGACAGCTCAGTCTTACTGCTGCGGATGCAGGGATAAGGCAGCTGCACTTCCATATATTACTGCCATGAGCTTAATGCAGCAGCACTACCATGGAATCACTGCTCAAGCACATGCTGAAACACTGAAACTCTGGCTAATACACTGTAGTCCTCCTCTAGGGACAGGTGAAGAGATTGGAAAATCCCAGGGTGAAAACCCAGTGTAATACATTGTGCAAAACAGCCACTCCCAAAGCTCTGTTATCCCAGAGAAGGGTGAAATAGAACTACCCTTTAAAAGCTGCAGTACAAATCCTTCAGCCAGGAAAGCTTTTTGATGCACCCTGGAAGGGATAGGAGCCAGATGATTTGCTTTCTACATACAGCTCTGGAAAGGCTGACAGTAGGGCAGCAGGACATCTACTGCCCATGTTTTTGAAAAGTAGTTGAGACAGTGGACAAATTGGTGACAAAAATGCTGAGTGGGACACTTGGTTGTGAGACTGCAGAGGCACCAGTTTGTCAGAGAGAAGACAGGGGACTTGAACAGGCCATATGAATAGCTGCTGGGATAAAATACTGGGCCCTGAGAGACTTTTTGGTCTGTCAGTCACAGTAAGATTGTAAAGCCAGCAAACAGGCCAGACAAATGCAACTGAAGTGCCATTTAATTGTGTAGGCAATTATCTACTGATTGAACCAGTAAGGAGTACTGGGTGCAACAGCTCTCAACTTTGTGTAAAAGCAACCTTCTCTTTTGCAAGAGCCCCTAAAAATGCCTTTGTCCAAGTCTCACTGATAAGAATTCCCCTTAAGTTCCTCTGCCAGCCCTACCCAGAATACTTTACATATTTGTTAGCTGATACTGCTGCAATTTGCTAAATACAAGGGACTTCCTGGGTCACTGAATCCAGTCTAAAACTGCAGGTACCAAGTTGATTCTTGTTACCTTTCCAGCAACATTCCATAACAAAAAATACCTCATTATGTGTTTTTTGAAAAAAGAAAAAAAAAAGCCCTGATGGGAATAGCAGTGAAATACATACTAGCGTTTTTAAAAGCAAAGCAATTTGTTTTGTTTAAGATTCTATGGCTAAAGCTTATCAAAAGCCTCTAAAGCTATCATATCTTGGGTTTTTAAGTATAAGAGCCAAAGCACAGCTTGGGATCCAAATGCAGTCCAAATGGCTGAACTAGTTATTTGTCTGTTTTCCAACTCTCTACAGTCTCAGGCTTGCAGTCCCCCCTTGCAAGAGTAAATCTTCCTCAGTCATAATTGTTCAGCGTGGATTTGATCAGCTTCATGAGGACTACTCATGGGTAAAAAGATTATTCATGTGAGAGGTACAGGATTGAATCCTTAGCTAAAGATACTAAGGCCTAAGGAAATCAATGATTCAAATCTGTAAAAGACCACTGCTGCTATGTAAATACCTTGATGCTTTGTCTTTGGTTTGCTGCTCATTAGCTAAGTCAACAACTATTACTAAGAACCCCTCAAGGGCAACTTGTACATAGACATGCACCATTCTGTACATATACTTCTGTTGTTTGTAACACTTATGCAAGTGCATACAGAAATAGGGGAACAACTCAAGCTACATCACCCTGCTGTCTTGGTTGCTGCCATCAAGCATGCTGTCATTCCTATCAAACACAATCCCAGTGGACATTATGGGCAAGGGATCTTGGTATAATGTTCTCAAGACACTCTACACTGATACCTCGACTAGGGCAATATCCCAAGGGTGTGGGAAGCAAGAAAACCCAACTCAGTATCTTCCACACTTTTTCAACTTTACCTTTCAGTGGGCAGCAGATGAAAGGGAGGAAACAGGGAAAGTAGCATTGTGTGAATGCAGATTTAGTAGGACAAGGGAAGGGTGAAAGATGCTACATCCTTCCATTCTTTCCTTGCCCAGTTAGCACCAGGCTGTGCAACCAGCGTGCAACTGCAGCATGTGAGTTTGGCACTGTGCCTTTCCTTGGCTTACTCACTTCAGGACTGTGTCACCCCCACACATTCCTGGGTGGTGCCAGCTACTGCAGACTGTGAACAATAGCTGATGAAAGCTCAGCACTATTGGGGAGAAAGAAAATCTGTCCTCCATTCTTGTCATCCAAATATGGACAGAGATGTTTAGACATTTGTTTCAGAAACCTGTAGTTCAAACTGCTTCTTCAATATTAAAACATTGAGGTTTTGTTGTTTTTTATTTTTTTTAAATAATGGCCATTAAAATCTTCCCTTTTTTTATCACTGCTAGAAATATTACTTATCTTTTAAACAGTACTGTTTATCACCCTTCTTGCAAAATAACTCAAGTATCTAGAAAATTGAAAAAGATAACCACGTTACCAATTACAAATCTGAACTTGCTACAGTGGAGAGAGCCTACCTGTGCTGTAAAACACTGTATACCATCTGCCACATCTGCAACATATGTCTGCATGTCACCAGAGCCTCTTCAGGTCCTTTATGTATCCATTCCAGTTTTACTTTGGTGAAGAGTAAGCTGCAAGATTAAAAAGAATAATTCCTATTTTATTGGCATCTCATAAAAGGAGAGAATCAGTATCACTCTGGCAAGATCCTGGCAGGCAGCATTTTCACTTGCTTTGTACGTGCAGTAACAAAAGAAAACACCATAGCACAAAACATTTCATTTGGCTCAAGTCTGATTCCCCACAAGGAGATGAGAGGATTAACAATATTCCTCAGCTGCAGTCAAATCTGTGTCACAAAGCTGGCAGGACAGAGTTAAAAGCAAAGCATTGCAAAGCTAACAAGGTGAAACATAAACTGAATCTCATTTTATTTTGGACAATATTAAAACCAGGAGAAAACAGAATTGCTGTAATACATATGCCCAGGCTGTTTTCTTAGTCTGGCATCTCCTTATAGCACTGGCTTATATAATGAATTTCAGACAAAAACCCCAGCACACTTAACATACACAGATAATTATGTAATGCCTCACAGGAAGGAAACATTTTTTCTTAACCCCAGCTGGCAACCATCTCATGCCCCCAGGCAAGACAGCTGATAGCCTTGTACATTCTTGTTCTAGGTAGTGGAACTGCTGCTGCTATTCTTATACCTAGAGAAGACGTACTTGCACAGACTGCTGGAATTCAGCAGAATTGGGTCACACAGAGGTTACAAGACAGATTTGGCAATGACACAAGCTACCACTTGCTGCCAGCATGGCTTTTAATACCATCCTTCACTACACCCATTTTATCTAAATTGTGAAGATGATATAATTTATTTCTTTTATATTAATGAAAAACTTTAAATGTTTTCATTAAGTCCAATATCAACACAATTTTAATTCACTTGATATGGTAGCAATTAATCCACTGGAAGCACATATGTGAACATACATGCATACAACAGTTGAATGTTAAAAATCCTAAAAACAGGTTTGTGAATGTGACCTGCAGGCTCCTGAGAATCCCAACTACTTCAGAAAGAGACAAGAGCAACTGCATATACCATGTCAGAGAAGAATTCACAGCTGAGTAAGAGATCCTTCACTTGGAATAATTAGAACTCTATTGCCAAGACTGTGTAGTGCATATCTACAGGAGTGTGCTAAAATGGGAGTTTCATTTGGTACTAACAAACATCAGGGTGGGCATTTTTGGTTTGGGTTTCTTGTTTGATTGGTTGGTTTTTCCTTGGGGGGCGGAGATGGTAGTTACCAAAATGTAGCCCAACTGTATCAACTGCTATAGTGAAGTCTGCTCATGGCTGCTACAATTTGACCTGGTAGAACAAGCATTCCATGAAATTCCTCAGGTACAAACTTTGACCAGCAAAGGCAGATCAAGACTCATAATCAAGGGAATTTGTCTTCACCCTTTACAATTTAATATCCCTACTCTGTATCTTTGATTTTCTTGTTACTGGTGTGAGCAAAACAAATATTGGTAAGAACATAATCTGCTCTTAGGCATGCTGACACCCTAACTGGGAGGAAATGCCTTTATGATTCAGGTATCTGAGGCTAAAACAGACTGATCAAAATTTTGCTGGGACAAAGATGTAACAGTGGATGGAAGCACTGTTAAAAAATAAGTCTGAATTCAAAGGAGTGGTTAGCAATGGAACTGGTCAGTGATGCCTGCTGCTCTGTACTCCCTGTGAACAGGACTCATAAGAACAAAGCCTGTATCAACACAACAGGATATAGAATCAATCACTTGCGTATAAGGAGTACATATCACACTAGAAAGGTGGAAAGTTACATCATGGAGTGCAATGGTATTAAAAAAGACATCAAGTTCCTGAGCAACAATGCAGTTAAAAGGTCAAACAACCCTTAGCATCCATATATAGAAATATAATCAGGTAGGAACTGGAAGACATGGCTATTCTTGATCAGAGCATCAGCAAGACATTTATTACAATCCTGTTTCTAGTTCTTGCCCTTTGATTCCAGAAGATGACTAAAAATGGGATAAAGATGAATAAAAATGGGTTCAGAAAATGGTTATGCATGATGAAGTGAGGGCTAGAAAAATGTATTTCATCAGAGGCTTGATAAGTTCAGTTTATTTGCTTTAACCAAGAAGCAGCAATGAAATTGTTCTGCCCCAGCCTGCAAGCATCTACATGAAGTCTCTCATTGTGAGTCTTTGATGTAAAAGAAAAGATACACAGAATGTAAGAATTTGTTAGAAGCTGAAATCACTCAAATGGAAATTTCCAAGTAAATGCATTCACGTAACTATCAAGGAAAATAATCTTTGCAGCAACTACCTTGTGAGAACAGTAAATTCTGTAGTCATTAAAGCCTTTTCAGCAAGGCAGGATAACATCTGGAAAGCAATGGCAGTGTACAAACAGAAGCTGTGGGTTTGATGCATAGGCTCATGAGTGAGTTCTTTGGGCTGCAATGTGCAGAGGGGTGAGACTACGTCACCCTCCTTCCAGAAGTTACTCTATTAAACTCTAGAGAAGTTACTCTATTATACTCTATATTCTTCCAGTCCCAGAAGCAAGCACATTGAACAACCCATGCTATTTTAAACAAACAGAATAATTTTTAAACCACTACAAACTTTCAAAATTAAAGACCTTCTAAAGCACTGTACAGCCCAGCCCTCCTTGCAGCAGAAGAACAGTGGTCAAGAAAACCAAGGCTCAGAGACCAGCTGTATTTCATCCCAGAACAAAGCCACACTTCTCAACATGGTAAGATACCACTCAGTATTAATTAAAAAAACAAACCTATTAACAGTCAAACTCCAGGACAGGATGGCTCTATTAAAGGCTCCTTCTTCTTCCATTAGCAGGGACATAGATGGCTTATCAGCAGGGAAGTAAAATCACTACATAATATCTTTACACATTACAGTTAAACATTAAAAATACAAAGCAAGCATTTCATCACTCTGCTGTTTACTGCTTACAGTGAGTATATGTCATCCGCTCTGGATGAAGATGCAATGTTCTATCTCAGGAGAGAGAACAACTAATGAAACCAAGGAAAAAAACAAGTCTCTCACAAAAACATAATGAAGCCTCAGCACAATACTATCAGGAGTTGTAAGGCACAGGCACACTATAGGATCTTGGAGATACCATGCCCTACTAGCTGTTGCAGCAGTTCACCTTGGGAATAGTGTTATCCATGTTATTGTGTAGTCTTATAACGAACCACACCAAAAGATAAATGGGAGGAATGTAAGAAGCAAAAGGAATCAAACCATACCAGTGGCAGTAGCAAACAATGCAATTAAACATGCTAAGTAAAAGGTGGAAATACAAACAGGGTAACAGGCTGCATGTGCTATACACTCAGTATTTCTCAGCTTCTAATAAGCTTTGTAACAGTGAAACCATATAAGTAAATACATAGAGAAAACAGTGAGGTAGTATCACTATCTCAAGCTTATAAATTTATTACTTAGCTAGCACTCTAACTACACATAAATCTAATGAGTATTGTGTCCTATCAGTGTCTGCACCCAATTTCAGGGGCATAAATAAAAATTACTTACGCACTGACTTCACCTTATTGTATTTCTTAATATCACTGTGCATTTGTATGATGCTTGTAGCATTAAGCAGTGTAGACTTTTAAAAGGATTCAACATACCAAAATAGCCCCAAGATTATCAATATAGTCATTGGTAATTCTATTAGCCTGTGAATATGAAAACAGATTTGGGCTAAAGCAAATATATAAATTGTTACTACACAAGCATAGGAAAACAGAGCAAAAAAACCCACAAATCATTCTTGTAATGTGTGTGACTTCAGGGACAGTACCAATGGAAAATAACCAATACAACCAGTACTTAGTCTTGATACAAGACTCTAAGCTCCCTCTCAGAAGAGGTTTTCTTTTGTGGTGCATGTGGACAGTATGCAAAGGCTTTTTTCTCTAATGGAACATCAGGTTATTGCCACAAGCAAACACACCCATCTCTCACTCTAGCACATTAACTCTGGCAAATTAAAACCCGGATACAGCCCAATTTGGTGAGACCTTAAGTTCTGAAAATTCAAAATGAATCCATAATGAGGTTCCCCAAGCATCAAATCTTCAGCAGTACAAATTACCATATCACTGTAATAGGCCACACCTTGACAAAAAAGGGTAGGGACTGGAATCTTGGAAGACCTACAAAAATTTTCAGAAGCAAGCAAACTACTTCGGTGGATTTCAGAAGGCATTTGACATTTGTTTTCATGAAGACTGATTTCAATGATTTCATGATATCTCAAGGCCTGGCCAAATACACCTATCTAGCACTTCCAAGAATCTTCTAATGTTATATGGCTAAATGCTCGGCCTTTAAGTTCTTTAATATTACCATCCATGAATAAAAGAGGCAATTCTTACCCATCCCTGAAAATTTAATTACTGAGGTTTAACAGCTAATATTTATTATCAGAAGATCTCACAAGTGCATCTGTATATCATAAATGCTTATGAGAACATCTGTGAAGTTGTAAGTTGCTGTGTATAGTAATAATCAATTGAAGACTTTATGGATGCTCTAGGACTTTAAAAGATTTAATAATCAGTTAATTATTGGGACTTTTAAAACCTGCTTTAAAATGGAGCTCTTAGCATCAAATGTAGCCCTTGTAGTACAGATTTATACAGCATCACAGTGGGATCTGTGTCTTATCACTTGACAAGCAATAAATAATGCCAGTACTATAACAAACAAGAACACCTTCCACTCATTTCAAGGTTGAGAGACTAAATTAGGACTAATCAGTATTATGTAGTCATTTGTCTATATATTTTACCATTCACTGTCTGCTTAAAACCTTCCAGTTTTTGAGAGCTTGTCAGCAGCTTCTCAAAGATCTACATGTCTTTGAGCTTTACCAGATCGGTGCTGTCATTCCCCAAAGTCTTTCATTATTCACCCAGATTTGTCTCCTACACACACAGCTGCTGGGTTATTTTGGATTCTGAATGCAAAAGAAACAAAACAAACCACCAAAACATGCAGCAGTGTATCTTAATTCACCAGACAACTGTGT